AGAGAGAGAGAGAGAGAGAGAGAGAGAGAGAGAGAGAGAGAGAGAGAGGAGTGATAAGAGAGAAATTATGGTAAGGAAAAAGAAATCTGAGCAAGGAGTATACATAGAGTACGACTTGTGTGATGTACAAGGCTGAATTTTCGTGGAAATCTTCGTTTTTGTAATTAACTTTCTCAACATGAAAAGTAAGGTAATACAACGTTTGTCCACTGAACAATTTCTTGTGATAAAATTGAAGTAAAGGTAGTGTTACTTTTCACTTAATTAATATGTATATATCTCCTGACATTTCGTTAATTATGTTTATGGCTATATCTCTTGGATTTTTTAGTTGAGAAAGAAATACTATATGAAAAATATAATTTGATTTTTCACATAGAAACCGACAGAATTGTTTCCAGATATTCAAAATTGTATTTAATACGCCGCAGGATATATTGAAGAATCTGTTGCATTTAAGAAAAATTGTGCATAATTTAATTTGATTTTTTACACAGAAAACGATCGAACCTTTTCGAGGTATAGTTCTCACGCGGCAAGAAGGCGTCTGTGTGTTTACATAGCTCCTCTTACTAGCTATCCCACTGCCGCAGTATCCTATTGCTATTGGTCGAGAACAGTGACGAAGTCCGCCGTCGGCCAATAGCGACCGATAGCTGCGGTAGTGAGGTAATAGGAGGGGGCTAATAATAGGAGCGGGACTGTAAACGTAAAGGTGTCTTCCTGTCACGTGAGAAATATACACAATATTTTGTTTCAGATTTAATGAAAGGATCCATCGCAATTTAGAGGAAATGCAAATATGGATAAATATAACTTGATTTAATATTTTAATAGGAAGTGATGGAAGCTTTTTGCGAAACACAATATTTCTTTTCAGATATATCGAGATGGTGCATTGCAATTTAAAAGAAATACAAATATCGATAATTAGCTTGATTTGATTTTTTACACAGGTAATGATAGAACGTTTTTGCGAAACACAATACATTTTGTTTCAGATATAATGGGAGGATACGTCGCATTTAGAAAAGATATAAGAATGCAGAATTTAATTTGATTTTTTGCACAGGAAATAATAGGATTATTTTGAGGTACATCATATTTAGTTTCATATTTAACTGGAAAGATACATTATAATTTAAAAGAAATATGAATATGGACACATAATTTAATTTCTTTTTTCACATAGAAAATATCGGAATTTGTTTAAGCTACACAATATTTTATTTTATGTTGAATACGTTCCATACGTTAAGCAGGAATTTGTGAAAAGTATACAACTCATAATGAAAACGAAGGAATCGATATAACCACATGGATCGACGATACATCAACGACAATATACAACAAAAGATTAAACTTTTTATTATACCATTCATTACAATATTCACTAACATGCATGCAGTGACGAGTGCACACATACCGCGTGTCTCATGAAAATACAATAAATGCTACCAATTCATTAACTGACTAGTTAATTTAAATAACTTGTTCTTTCGCGAAAATGCAACCGCGGCTTTGTTTACGAGTTATTAACGAAAACCGGTGACCAATGAGCTCGGCTGGTGCTAACTCACTGGCTTGGCCGCCAACTGATCTCGTCTCTCATTGGTCACTGTTTTTCATTAATAACTCGTAAACAAAATCGCGGATTGCATTTTCGCTAAGGAAAATGTTACTTCAAATGTCCTGAGGAACCCCTTATTTCCCGATTTTGAGTAAATTTGGGACTTCCTGTACTTCGATAAAAATGTTACAATGAAAAACTGTAAACGCTGCGTTAAACTCTTATCTTCGTAAAATATATTCCGTATATTACGTAAATGGAAGTAAACTATTACATAATGTTAATTACATTCATTGCGTAATTACAATCACTGAAGGCTGACCGATCAACACGTTCTTCATTTTCATGAGACAAACGGTGCGTTTTTTTACGTTTGCTCGTTACTGTACATATATTATAAAATTACAAGGTTCAGGTAACAATAAGCGTAACTAACGATGGTGTGAAAAATGTGAAATGGAAATATTGAAAATGTTCGAATATTTTCGTTCTAAAGTTCAGCTGAGAGATCGTAAATCACAGGTCCAATCAACGTTACAGTGCTGACTAACGATGCGCCGCGGTTACTGTCCGCCAAACTAGCGTTAGGCAATTGGATCAGCGTGGGAAAACGGCGGTTTCGCGGCATAGTAAAAAACGATTGGATGTTATAGAATTCTTGATCGATGGCTTCGCGTTTGTATGTCGAACGAGGCTTTGTCAACCGTATGTTTCGAGTTCAGTGGTAGGCTAGATGTATCGGTTGTTGTCACACTAAGGATTTATACAAATTTCAACGCAAATATTCTGAAAGTCTTGCATCATATAAGAAATTTGGAAGTATTAATAGGTTGATTCATACCATCAGTTTTGATATTTAACTTGAAATAGGGTAACAAGATGATTAAAGAAGTATTAGAGTACAAACATAGTAAAATAAGCATTTTTCACCGTTTGTGACCACTTGTTCAGCAATCGAGCAACTTTCGTATTTCACATTTTTCCCGGAAATGCGTTGTTTTCTAGATATTTAGATTTCAAGTTTTCAAATGTGCACCGAGCATAATTTTAATGACAAAGGAAAGAATAAAGTATAAGATATAAAATAATAACAATAAATCTACCTGTATACAGACACTTTTTTTACTCACAATTTTTAATTCTTCCAAAGTGCATAGCCGGATGAAATAGTCAAATGTGTCACCTAACAAAATTGATTTTCAGTTAGATCTTTCGATAGGCTACTGATTGAAAAGCCACTCACGCAACTTTCAAGTTTTTACTCTCCATAGGGCGCGCGTGACTTTTAAACGAAGCAAAAACTGCCACGCTGAAAAATCTCTGTACGTTGCAATCGTAAAAAACAAAGAAAAACTCGATTTTTTATTTTTCAATTAGGATAGCTATTTTAAAAATGTCTAAAAAATAATAATATTGCCTATAACCGCAATTCGAAACGTGCAGATTTTTTACTCTATTTGCCCTATACGAAAAATCTGAAAAAAATACATATTAATAATAACAAGGCATTATTAAGATAAAAATAAAAATATGGTGCTTCCACCGCCTTATTCTGAAATCAGCATTTCAAAATTTCCAGAGTTTTTTAAATCTCGATGTTGCAACAGAAAATTCTGAAAAAATTCAGAGTTTTGTGCTCCATTAGGTAGAAGATCCATGAATTTTTTCATAATTTACCGTTGAGTAGAACAGAAGTAGCGCATAATCTGCTAACCCGATTTCATTCTGTAACTACCTTGTGCCCGAGTTGTCCGAGTGTATTTTCAATCAGTGGTCTATCGAAAGATCTAAACAAAAATCAATTTGATTAAGGAGGCACCTTTGACCATCTTATCCGACTATACTCTTTCTATACAGGGTATCTCATTTCAGTTGAGATTAAACAAAATCTCGTAGATACATGATTAAAAAGAAAATCGATCTGACACATGTGTCCTTCAATATTTCAAGTGAAGTGTCAAATGGCACTACTACTTTTTTAACGCGTGAGCATTTTCAAGGTTGTTTCAAGGTCATCTTGCTTTTTTTTATTGCAAACCTATATTTTTTAGTTCGGAATCATATTCTATGTAAAAAAAATGCATGATTTTTGTTTGAAACATTTTTTTGTAAGTTCAATATTTTTTAAGACATTTAGCTGATTGTTCATGTTTATGTTAAGAATAATTTTCTTTTTCTATTAAAATGATCACATGTTACTTTCTTTTGGAAGATATTTTATTTCATTTAAGAACATCACATTACAAAAAGAATGTTTCAAATAAAAGGTGTGCATTTTTTTCACGTAGCACATGATTCCGACATAAAAAATATAGGTTTATGATAAAAAAAATACAATATGACCTTGAAATAACTTTGAAAACGCCGACACATTAAAAAAATAATAGTGCTATTTATAACTCTGTGAAATATAATTTTTACATAAATTGATAAAAGGCAATCCTCAACGTGGTGATGCGAAGCAAGTATACACAAATAATAATAAAACAAACAAAACTTTGATTTTAGTAACATAAATTGCAATTCTTATCTACGGGTCTGAATTGACCCGGCATCCACCGTGCGGAGGTTAATTCAATCAATATTGATTTTTACTATATTGGTAAACGGAAATTAAATTAAATTTGGACCATATGAATCGTTGTGAGGTAATAAAAGTTGATGAGGCTTTAGTTAGAGCGAATATTGAATTTGACTGTTGTAATAAATTATTAATTTTCATGATGTCTGCACTGCGATACTTTCGTCTCTGTAAGCCTCGGATCTAACCTTCGTAAGCATGAATAATAAATGAAGGTACCCTAGCACGATTTCCGCGTCAGCATTATTTATCACTATAAAACTCGGACTCGGCATTATTAGGTCAGAAGTCGGATAATCATGTCAATTTGCGTGCGTGCGGCGTCGCGGATCTCGTGTCATAAACGGGAATGTAATTCCTCGTAGTGCCCCGGGGAAAGCAAGATTAGGGTGGATACGTATCATGCTCCCCGCTGACAGAAAATTACTATTAAATTCAACGCTGTGGTACAATTGTCACGTTAAACTTCTTGCAACAAATAATACTATTGATATTACGTTTTGCCGTGCGAGTTGATTCTTATCGCGTCTCTTGTCACGTTATTACGAAGAGAATTCCGTTGACGCAGCAATTGTTGCAAAAGTATATCATTTTATCTCGTGTTGTTCTATAGAATGAATAAAATGCAATTTAGGAGACCTTGGTCGCGCCACGCGTTTTTAGATAAATATTTGGTGTACAAATTGATATGTGACCTTTCCTTCGCATTCTTTATATGCACGGGCTGTCGCATGTACACTCCCCTCCAAAATTATTAGAACGCTAATACTTTTAGAACTTTAGGGGAACATTTTTGCAATAAAACATTTCTTCTAAAATGTTTTATACTGCGATCTATAGCTGATCGAAAACTTATTAACTTTTGTTGTGAACATTTGTTTGCCAGACTGTCGGGAGTACTTAAAAAATCGTGGCAACAGTGGTCTTGCGGTACGTTGTCAAGGTAATGATACCTACTTCTTCTAACCTAGATAACCTAATCTAGACCAGTTTCTGATCTTCTCGGTAATTATTTACAAAAGTGACACACCCTATTAATTTCAGTGATTTTTAAATACGTTTTGAAGGTCTAGATTCCCAACTTCTACATCGGAAATTGTGTATGAGTTAGGTTATGTTGTCACCTGCTAAACAATTAAAATTTAGATATCTCGAAATTTAGCAGTGATTGTATCAGATAAGTGTAAAAGATAAGAGACCATGTCCTTGACAACGTATATGAAGGTCAAAGTCATTGGTCAGGTGTTCCTTAAAGTAACTAATAACTTATATTTTTTGTATATAGGGTATTTCTACCATCATGCGTATACAAATCTCTTCGTTATTTTTGCTGGTACGAAAAAATGTGTCAGAACAAATTTGTTTGGTTCAAAGCTACGAACATTATGATCCATGCGCTTTTTTCTCAAGTTCAGTTCTTCCGAGTTTTGAAGGTCACCGCCATTTTTAACATATTAACATCTATCTTTTATGAATGCGGCGTTGCAGTACACATCGAGACTAATTCAATAGGGTGTAATACTATGAACAATTTAACATTAAATATCTCAAAAATGACTCGAGACCGCGGATTAGGTTAAAAGAAAGAGCTGTTCACGTTCTTAACAATATATGCATTCAAGGTCAAGGTTATAAGGGGATGTTCCTTTAGTTTAAATAATTACGGAAATACGTTCTCTAGTTTCGAAAATTATTTTCATCTGTTCTCTTACGTTTCTTCATTTTGTAGTTAATTAGTGAATCTTGTTTGAAAAAAAAAAGATGGCGGTTGTGGCGCAATGAAATATCATCAACGCTGTCTTTACTTTTTCAAGTGTTTTGTTGGCAACGTTACAGTGACAATCTGAAGGGTCTAGATGTGACTAATAAGCCACGTAAGGGGAAACTTTCCAACTCAAGGGAGATATACGATGACTTGCTTGGTCACTTTTGCCAAATGAGGTCATGCGTCGTGCTGCAACAGAGGGTGACATCACCTAACTTGGCGCACCATAGTGCAAGAGGCGCTCAAACGCCGCAAGAAGTCCTGATTCATGAGCATCCTCAAAACAAAGAGAAGACTATAAAGATAATTATAGTTGAACTTTTGAATCACAACCTGGTATAATTCTTTTTCATTTTTAGCAATTATAAACACGGCGCACGACTCCCAAGAAGCCCACCTCGAAATGAATGAAATATAAAATTATTATTAGCAATGTTGTTATTTTCTTAGTTTTACTAATTATTAGTTTTACTAAGAAGAATACTAGGCATATATACGGAATGTATAGATACACTTAAATTGAACATCAAAATTATTTTCGTTATTATG